TAGAGGAAGACCTCAATTTAAAATTTCCTGTTTTTAGAGTAGCAGAAGATATTGCAGAGGAACATAAACTTGTGAAGGATCTACCTTGTGAACTTAGTTCTGTCCTTGTTGTGACAGGCAAGCATTTAATTTAGTACATTTATGAATGGAATTGTGTGGACCCAGGCTGTGTTTCTGTTTTTCTAATTTTCCTTTCCATAAAGTAGAATTAATATTTTGCTCTTACTAGACACTGTAATGAGTTCCAAGAAACCATAATGAAAAGTACAACCTGGCAAATAACATTAGAGAAATTAAATCACATATATGCCTAAGTAGGAATCACTTTGACCATCAAGAGCTTGCAAAAGAGGATTATAATTATCAAAACCTCAGGTAAGAACTTGCAAGAAGCTTGGAAGGAAGGATTTATGTTAGGTTCTTATATTGGGAATCTACATCCAGAAAGAGTAAGGCAATTGCATGTATTAATTCTTAACTTCAACATTAGATAATGCCTTACTTAAAGTACTCTGGTTTATACTTCAGAAGTATTTATGTTCCTTGATTGCAAAGAGTATCCCAAATAGTTTGTATACACTACTGCACATTTTAAAATATGCTAACTTTAGACATAATTTCTCTGATATGCAGAGGATAAGTTTTTATAGCCTTCTTCAGGCAAACTCAGATTTTATTTTCTTGCAGTTCACGACAGCCAAAAACAATTTGATTCAAAATCAAATACTGTGATACAATTCAAAATCAAATACTGAGATACAATATACAAATCAACATTCATTGCATAATACCAATCTTGAAAGAAGGCATAAATGTATATATTTGAAAAGATGATTGGATGAAGAAGGCTAGAAAAACAGACTAGTCAGAGATGAATCTATACTTGATAATAAATAAACTATGCCTGTAGTGATAAGCTATAGATCAGAAAACATGAAGACTTGCTTGTAATCATGYTAAACATGAGCTGCCCATTACTCACAATGCTACAGTACACTCTGCAGGAAATATTGCACCTAAATTTCAATGTTTACATCATTCATGTCTATATCTATTCCAGGACTTAATGGAAATATGTCAGTATAATTAATCAGTCCTGATAAAGCAGAGGCCTACATTTTGTCAGGTAAATCACATAATAGATCTCATTATTGTATCAACCACCTCCCCAATGAATAGCAAGGAATGGAAGAGTGGGTTGCTGAGATTTAGTTGCCTAACCTACAGAACCTTTATTTTATTGCTTAACACARTTTCAGTTTGAAAAAAAAAAAAAAAAMCTAAAAACAGATTATGAACTCATAACTCCTTTATATGGGTGTTATAGCTGAATTTGTGYACAAGGTGAGGGAGACTCAATGAAACTGAAAGAAAAATCCTCATATGGTACTGGCAGGTGCTATATTTGAGTTGTAAAGAAAAAGACAAAAAGGAAATGAAGCACTAGTTAGAGAAAAAGTGAAGGATGCTTTTATTTGTTGATGGTAGAGAACATTGCTCCAGTTTCTAAAAAATAAAATAAAATAAAATAAATCTTTGATAAACATGGGCAAACTAGGTAGTCATTACCAAAACATGGAAGCTCAATTTTCTTAACTGTCTGTGAAAACATATAGCCAACTTCAACGGTGAATGACAAATTTCCTTTCAGATTCTAAGGTTATTTTTCAACCTTAGCCATATAGTAGAGTAAAAGTAATGATTCTATGTTTGAAAAATGAGGTGTTGAGATCTATATTATTAAATGATAGCTTTGTGAGCTGGAACTAATGAAGCCTAGTTTCTTTTATTGATTTTGACTCATGGATGACTGACTTTCCTGTCTGGGACTGTGTAAGCTCCAACTGAACCTTTCCAGCAAGCAGGATGTTTGTAAGTGCTTTCTTTTCCTATATAGACTGTCTAATGCCCAACAAGCTAAACTTTATTACAGCTTTTTAGAATTCATATGTTCTGGTTTTACCAGACATTATCATACAATTTTTAGAAACATAATAAAAAAAAAATTAGAGACATAATTAAAATCAGAATAGGTACTACTGATCTATGAATTCCCACTGAATGGTCGAACATGACAGACATGGTATAAACATATTTTTGAACACAGCATCAGAAGGGTAGCTTCAAAATATTCACTTTCTGCAGAGATTACATAATTCTTATGTATTCTTCTATTTTTTTAACTGGATAATATTGTGAGACACTAAGGATAGGATAATATCTCAGGCTTGGTGTTATTGCTGTTGCCTTGAAGGTAACTTTACCTTCTAATTATTCATTTCTCCCACACATTTACTCAGAAGCAGAGACAAATATTCAGATGGTGCACACTTCCTGTACACCATTCACCTCAGCTATGTCATACTTGGTCACCTCAGGATATAGTTTCTCTTTTATGTGTGTGGTGAGGAAAGATACTTATTCCTAAAGAAGTAACTGATGCATAAGCTCTAGTCATTCTATTTTAAGTACCTAGTTTGGGTATCTTACAGGAGTTTGAAGAAATCAATCAAAAAATAAACCAATATTTTTGACACTGTGACATTGAAAACCAATGGTAAGTTAATGGTAGAAGGGAAGGGTAGGGAAGGGAAAGGAATGGGAAGAAAAGAAACCCTAAAGAAATGTAGCCTTGACTTTTAAAAAAGACTCTTGTCAGAGCCAACATTATCTGCATATATTAATTGCTGTTTTTAGCTTGATGTGCTCTTTGTTCTTCATTTTATATAAAGAAGACAGCAAAAGCTGCTGTTGAAGTACTGTTGTAGTGGCTGTAGAACCAATTTCCAAAAACTGTAAGAGCAATTATGAGCATTATCTTATTGCTTTGACTATGATACATGGTTTAAGAACAGACACTTCTCTCTCCTCTTTATAGCCTTCTGTAACAAAGAAAGGTCAACTATATTGTCTAAAATTGCATAGGAATTGGAACATGGATTCATCACATCAAATCAGAGAAGTTGTTCAGGCTCTATAATTTGAACTTGGTAATACCAGAAGGAATTGTGAAAAACACAGCTAAGATGAAAGATGGAAGATTTTTCACAAATATTTTCAAGCTACTGCTTTCTTCTGGTAGAACTGGACTCTTATCACCCAGAAAAATGATTAATACTACTATAGATTTTTCAATATATTTCACGGGTTTCTTTTATTGCTACAACACCAAATGACAGTATTCTCTATGTCAATTACCAGTGGTTTATATTTTTTTCTATCGTTCTTAGAATTTCTGTCTTTCACTTTATTAATGGACTTCTTGTTTTATTTTGTGAGTAGAAGATTATGAGCTCTTAAAATTTGTGCACTTTTGTCCTTCATGCCATGTGAAAAACTAGACTTACTATTTTCTTGCATAACTCACTCTCTGAACACATTATAATATGGTCGTGTTAACTGGAAGAATTAAAATAGTATAAAAAGACCTAATGCAAACAGTGTCTACATAAATATGTTGCAATAGGTTAGAACATTACAAGAATGATAAAATATTTTGATATCTAATGATCCTTCTTTCTGATTCCCTAAAATCATTCTAAAGCATTGAGAAATGAGGAGAGAGAAAAGAAAAACAGAAGGAGAAACGCATCTTAACATATTTGTTTTTAAACAGTGTAAAATAAAGATAAACTATTTTTAGAATACATGAAATACTAAAAAGATCAAAACCAATATTTTCCAGCTTCAGGAGATCTTGTTAAATTCATCTGATATTAATTCTTGGTACAGTACTCAACCAAGAAAATGCTGGCTAAAACTGCCAGCACTATAGAACTACTCTTAACATTTTTGATGGATTTCAAGATGCAATTATTAGCAGCATTTTAATTACAGTTGTTGTATATGCATATACCAATGAAATTAGATACTTTGTAGTGTTACAGTATTAAGGTTCTTAAAGTTAAATCATGCCAATGCAGATGTTCCTAATTACCCTAAAAGCATAAATACTTACACAAACCGGTTGTTTCCAGCTCCAGTGCTATTTGATTAAAGGAATGCCTATAATTTTACAACATGAATGATAGTTAAGCACGGCTAATATGAGAAATTGTAAAGAAATAACATGTATATATGCTTACATAAGGGAAGGAGTTAAAATATATCARAGGTAGAGCAGAAGCTGTGATTTGACTGAGATAAGTATAAAGTATTGCCAGAAGAGGTGACACTATCAAGGACATACAAAAAATACAGAAAAAYAACAATAAAGGCAAAGCATTTATTTCTCAGACAAACTCATTTTAGAAACCCACACTAAAGGGTTTTTTGGTTCCTGCTGCTCATGGTGTTTTTATTTCTGTTTTTTTCTCCCTTTTCTCCAAGGCTGTCAAATGGAATCAAGCTCCACCCCTACTTCTTGCATTGCTTCTTGCAAAGACACGTGCCGGATCATGCACTGCACCCTGACACCAGCACAGCGGCTGCACGAGCCCTGGACGTGGGCAGAGCTCTGGGCATCACAGCCCTGGCAGCAGCCTCCTTAGTGCACTGATAATTGCTGCAGGTTTCCACGGGTAAAAGCACAATAAATGCCAAAGTTTGTTTATAGAACAGAAGGGCATTTCTTAAAAAGCAATTATTTTGTAGATGTGTTTTGGTTTTCATGTGAAATAGAAATGGCTGGTCATYTACTTGATCCTATATTGCATATAGCTATAAACAACTACTCTTCTACTATCTCCTATAATATGTGTTTGAACAAGTGTCAAAGGGAAAAGATATGTATCACATTCCAGTACACAGATATCAGCTATAATAATACTACATATTTCTATCCACATTCATACATCCATTATACATACYTAAGAATTAAGACTGTACATTTTTTTCATACTTTCATTTATATTTAATYTAATAATAGATAATAATAGATATATCATCTTTGTTTTAACCCAAGGTTTTGATAAGAAAAGAAATAAAAAAAAAAGAAAAAAAAAAGATAGCAATTCAGCATGACCAGATTTAAGATATGAATCTCCAATGTGTAGCTGTACCTTGGGTCACCTGTTGAATGGCTAGCATCACCCCAGAAACTGCATCAGGAACCAAATTTTCCCTCCAATTGTAGGCGGGTGCCCATTTCAGAATGGGCAGCCTTCTTGTGCACCACAGCTTGATGTCCTCAACGCCAACAGCCCGGATCTTCCTCCACACTCCACTCCGTTTTCTTTCCGTCCCTGTCATTGCTGCCACCCTTCAGAAGCTGTTCCTCTTTCAGAAGAGAATGCACCAGTGTAGAAGCACCCTGGTCTGTGGCAGACTCCAGTTTTCTCCTTAGACTTTAAAGTTTCAGGACTACAAAGGAAAAAAAAAAAAAAAAAAAAAAAAAAAAAGAATACTTAGATTTCTGTAGCTGTTCTACATTCAATAAAACACTTAGCAAGTGTTTTGCTCGTATAAACAGCTATATTAAATGCAAGAACTGTTTATAGTAAAAGTAGCGTTTTCTGCTCTTCTCAAAAATTTGATCTGGTCTCATATTCGATTGTGTTTCTCTGCAGTAACCTCCCGCCTTATATTCCCTGCAACGCTTGTGCTTTTGGCCTCAGTCCAGTGGCAAAAGGAGGTACTACTGGGTGAGCAGCTCCACATAGGCTGGGCTATGCTAATGTGAGCAGGAGGTGGCCAGCCAAGCAAGCCCCCCCTGCCATCCCACACAGCACAGAGTTCAGGCTTTAGCGAGGAAAGCTCTGCTTTTCTCGCAGTATTCAGAGGTCCCATGCAAAGTGTCAGCAGGGCTGGTGGAGCCAAAGCTCTGCTCTGTGGCTTATCCAGACAGGGTGCTCTCGGCAAAGGCAGGTCACCAAAATCTCATAAAAAACCCATGCACTTTGTTTGAGGTGCTCAGAAATAAAGGGATGAGAGCATGGAAGAAAATTAGAGAACCAGATCTTTAAATGCCTTGCCTATTTTGCAGCAAGGGCACAGTGATATTCCTTTAAGATTTTTGGCTCTTCAGCTGGCAAATCAAGTTAAAATGCCCCAAACAAAGTACCTTCCTAATCACTGTGCTGCAATCTGCAGTAGGCAGTACAAATATATCTTTTTAAAAAGAACTTCTGTATATATATATATATACACACTCATTTTAATTTTATAATTCAGAATATAATGAGCAAAACAGAAAYATCATTCATTCATAACTGTATCATGATCCTGTTCTTCTGCCCAAATTTGTGGATCTGAGTCTTGTTGTATAAAGGAAATTTCAATTCTCATTTAAAATAAAAAATCCTCTAGTCCTTGGTATTACACAAAACACTTAGAATTAAAATGATAAAAATAATCAAACACTTTTTAATCTCAATTTCCTTATATTTTCAAACAACTCAGTCTTTTAACTGCTAGAATTGGTGACTCTGAAACAATGTCTAGGTTTTTGAAGATTTAGTTCTATATTTAATAAAGCAGAGTTAAATAATGAAGATTAGTTTAGGAGATTTCATTCATCTCATAAATATTACCAAAATATTATCTTGAAATGTATATTATATCTTTGTTACTGAATCCCAATTTTATGTTTAATATTTCTCAGAATTTTTCTAAATCCCCATAGAACAGTTCAGATTATATTATGATACATTTTTTCTAACATGCAATATTGCAATCTTTTGAGATTTCAATGACATTGCCAGCATGTATTATGATCAGAATATTACTAATAGTGCATTGTTGCTACAGGGTGCATAAAAAATTCAGTTTATACATTTTGAAAATAACTTTTAAAAATCACAGAAGACATTTTAAAAAATCAAACCTTTCCTTCAAAAGCAGTCAGGAGAAAAGCATGAGGTAAAATTTTAATAAAAATTATTTAAAATTATTAATATTAATAAAGAAAAAGAAAGGGGGAAAGGAAACAGAAAAAACAAAGCAGAGCAAGATTGTTTAAGCAAGATCCTCACTTCAACCAAAATTTGCCCAGAGGACTATTGCAGGCAGGTTTAGTTTTTGCCGTGCCCACGTTTTAAGCTTGCACACCTTTTTTAAAGAAGAAATGCACAAGGTTAATGTTGCCGTGGTTCCCTGGAATAACCCCTAGGGACAGATCCCTTTGTCTYAGAGCTCAGTTTCCGCGTGCAGACTCACTGAAACAGAACTCTTCCGTGTGCCCTTCAAGGACTTACGAATCAAGGTCTTTCCTCTTGCCAAGTGTTTCACAACACAGACCTTTCTCCAGCCTCAAGTCATCAGAGGTGGCCAGAAATCCTTCTGGCTACAGCAAGAGTTTCTCAGCTGACAAGAGCTGCCTATTCTGGATGAAACATTCAGTACATCTGACTGCAACAGTATTTACTGAACAACAATAATCTAAAATACTTTTATGCATAATATGTATTTACAAAACTATGAATACTCATGTAAAAGAGATCAACCCTATTTCTGAAAAATAAAGAAAATCATAGCTCACCAGAACTAAATTCTCAATTAGTAAACAAACAAATAGAAAAACAAGCAAAATTTTGGAACCCAAGATCTGTCATAAAACAAATAAGAACACACTCCTTGTTCTTCAAAATTCTGATATTAAAATGTTGAAACAGTTTGAGAAACTCTATAACTGAGATGTTATCACTTTGTACCTGCACAGTTAATAGATTTGAACAATTTTACAATTAATTCTTAGTTAGTTCGTTTTACAACTAACTGTTAGCTGTCTTATGTAACAGAGCCTATTTTCAAATGAATAGTTCTTTTCCRGAAAAATATACAGCATGATTCTGGTAGTATACATATTTATCAGACTAAAACTATAACTAACAAGAAGCAACATTTAGAATATAGGCAATATATAAAATGAAAGATTATTGCATTATAAAACAATTTTGATAGACTTTTCAAATGTGGCTTAAAATATATCCACTGAAAAAAATAGGGTACCCTCTGTCAGGGACAGTCATCAGCTATTCTTATATTTTAATACATTTATTAGTCTATATGTGGAGTTAGGATATTGATTAACTGCCTCTGGCCTCAGAAGATTAGTCTAACGTATTATTCCCCCATACATAGCCTGACAAAAATTCCAGAGATACTCTGAGACCCTACCTGTAAGGAAATATCTTTTATAGGAAACTACAGGATTTTTGCATATTTTAATTTTGCACAAGTTTGATTTTTCCATCTTCAAATTTTTACATAAACTGATAGAAAATTTCAGGAACTATGTTTACTCCCAGAACTTAAATAAAGTCATTATTATACCTGAGCAAGRTATAAACGTTATGATGGAAAAAGCACACTTTGCTCTTTGGACTTTCTTTCAAGAGATTAGATTTCACTTATTTTATAAATATGTGCAGTCATCTAAGATTAAATCAGTTATACTTTGGGCTAACTAAACCTTKATTCCTGCTAATTTGTTTCACTCATTCCCTCAACCATATCCAATGCATCCAAGCCACTTCCCTATGGTCTCTCCCCGACTTGTCCTAGGCACATGCTCCAATTAGTCAAAATCTATTGGCATCTTACTGTGTGGCTATATATTCACTGCTAAAGTGAATATATATCAGCTGGCTCCCCTAACCATTTCCTCAGCGAAGAAATTTCAGTCCATCCTTGTCCTCTGTCCTGGTCCCCAGTTTCTGTGAACTTGGTTTTATTACTACTACTTTTCTACCAAAGATTTATTGAAATAGAAACAGCTAAAAAAGTCAGAGGATACTAGGGAAAAGCTTAAGAAAAAAAAAAGGGAGGCAGAATCTTGTCCAGATAAACTTTGTTTCTATACGAAATCTAGCTGGAATTCTAAGAGAAATCATTTTAAAATGTCCAAATGCATTTAACAAAGTGTAGCTTTTTGAGAACAGCAGTCATTTTTAGAAGAAATTGTGGTATGTACTGGTTCAAGCAAGCTAATCTGTGCAGTTCACATTGCAGAACACAGCACATCAGAATATCACACAGGCTATTGGAATGATAAGGGGATGCTGGAAAAAAATGAACAAAAATGATGACAAAAAACACATACCTAGAAAAAAGATATTAGTTGAATTTGGAGAAGCTGAGAATTTGTAACCTGTGAGATGTTTTTATATCTCATATCTCATTGAATAATTTAGTATTATCTCATAAAATATCATAATTATATGATCATAATAATATCATATGAGATAATATCATATATTATCTCATAAAATATTGAATTGGCCCATAGAAGGTGCATCCTGTTATGTATGCAAAGTATTTACTATCAAAAGCTAAGCAGCTTCCTCATCTGAAAGCTTTGGTGCCTCCAATCCAAACATAATTTACAGAATCCAGAGTTTCCCAATATACTTTTCAATGATAAATATATACAAAAAAAAAANAAAAAAAAAAAAAAAAAAAAAAAAGTTTGTGTTCAGGAATATGCAATACTCCTAAACTAACACACAGGATAAATCAAAAAAAAAATCAAATCTAGCCCTTGAAAAACCAGGTTTGGCCAGAAACCCGATCCCTCCATCCCTCAGCTCCTTAAGAACCACTGTGGCTGGACACGAGCACCTTTCCTGCCATGGAGCCGTCGCGGTTATCGTCACAGCAAGCGAGACACCGGGCACCACAAAAGTCTGGTCGCAACTCCAACAGCTTCGGCTCAACTCTAAAATCCGACCTACAGGCGACTTTTCCACACGGTGCTGCACAAAACTGCACGAAGCAACACTGGCATCCAGTGGTTTTGCTTGGAATTTTTTTTTCAGTCACTACAGGACCTGAAAGCACTGATTGCCCCGTTAGTTAATGTTTTTTGAAGTGGACACCATTAACTGATCCGTGAGGCACTGAGCCCGGGCTGCTGCTCATCCCTGGGACAGCCTGTCCTCAACTCATCTCCAGGGAGAGGAGCACAGGGGTTCTTGGAAAATTATCACATTAACCTCAGCTCCCAGAACAAAGGGTGATGAAACCCAGTGCAAGAGCAGAACAGGCAAAAGATCCGGCAATGCAACCTCTCTCCTAAGGTGCACGAGTAGCCTGCTGTGTTGCATCTATTGCTCTGCTAATACAGTGCTACAGGTGGCTAAGRAAGAAAAGAAAGTTTTAAATGATAGCAAGAAAGTATTGAAGTATCTTGGTATACCTAAAAGGAGCATAAGCAGATGAACATCATCCATCTCTTAAGTAAATTATAATATATTTTGAAGAGAAAAATCTGTTTTCCTTTCTCTCCTAAGATTGTCTCTAGGAGGATCAGTATAACCGCACAGGAGCCAAAAAAAATCTACAATTGGATCTCACAGAATGAACACCAGATTTTACTCATTCCAAACACAAATCAGAGGATTTATATATAAGAGCAAGAACATTAACATTTTAAGTAACTTCACTACTAAAAA